GTTAGAATGAAAGGAGATTTTTTCCATTGCTGTCAATTTTTCTCTTTCATCTTTATGAGAATCCGTATCGTAACAAGTGAGGCTGTGCATTTCTACCAGCTATGGATTATCATGTACGAAGAATATGCATTGGGCGCGTTGGCAACGATTCAGTTTCGTAATCGTAAGGTGCCGCGACTGCATCAACAAGCTGGACAACATTAATGACGTTCAGTGTACAATAAATTCATCTAAATAGACTTTATATTACATATGCTATTTTTCAATAATAATTGACCACATTATTTTATTTTTTTTAACCGTTAGAATGGCATTACCTCTTCAAAAAATTAAACAAAAAAGAAATGAAGAAAAAAAAAGTTTTCTTGTCTAGACGCGAACGCGGTACCTTACGATTACGAAGCTGAATCGTTGTCAACGCGCCCAATGCATGTTCTTCATACATGATGACCCATAGCTGGTAGAAATGCACAGCCTCACTTGTTGCGATACGGACTCTCATGAAGATGTAAGAGAAAAATTGACAGCAATGGAAAAAAATCTCGTTTCCGCTTAACGCTTTAGCATTTCTAACATAGATACGTTTCTCCATTTCATTTTTTGTTTTAACGTGCCGTGGTCTGATTAAAAAAAAAATTTGATAACTCTTGCACGTATGGCAGGCTGTTTCACTTTTTGATAGTTTAAAATTTATTCAGCCGAATAGAAAAGTAGTAAAAAATGTCCCAAAAAATTGCACTTTTTAATATCGGGTAAAAAAAATGAAAAACGTAAAAAACCCACGCAATTATTTTATACATATGTATGGTGAGATGAGACAACTAGTATATCTGCTTAGAAAATTTTAGTTTTATACATTTTTTGAGTAGCCTGATTCAATTTAGTCAATTTTTTTATTCATGCCTACGGAAAGATAATTTTATTTTTAATATTTTGAACTATCAGTATGTTCTACCTCGACATAATTGTCTGATAATTCGATGTATTGAAAATGTTGTCTTTCCGTAGCCATGAGTGATAAAAATTAAATGACAAAAAATCCCTAACCAGATACATTATTTGCTTCATTTCATCATAGGAAATAATTGGTTCATTTTTATATGCTCATCATTTTATGCCCGAGATTTATAATTGCAATTTTGTTTTCAGTATTTTTTCGTAATGCCTTCTTTATCCTTCTGAATATTATTTATGCTATTAAAAAAGGAAACAGCCTACCATAAGTGTTTGTCACAGGTAGGCTCTCGGGAAAAAGAAACGTTCGCTGATTCATGTACCAATTTATTGGATGTATACGATGTAATATAATACAATATTTGTAGATTAATATAATCATATATTTAATGAATCTTAAGTTAACTAGGTGAACCAATAAGCATAGTTGATAATTAAGAAAAAAAATAAAAGGGTTGAGACGTGAGTTTCGAACTCGAGACTCTCGGACGTTAATCCAGCATCAAGCACGTGTGCTATCGAGTCATTGTGGTATATTATTTAGCAAACTTGTATTTGTGTAGTTACCCACGTTCGAGAGTTTTTTTTAAGTTTTATTTGCTTACTCTATTATTTGCAGAGCTTCATATGATTATTAAGAGTATTGAGTACCTTATTACTACGGTTTATGTAATATCCTGTAAAAAAAAAGTTGGATACAAGTCTCCCTATTTGAGTGTTCACCCGGTTTAAAATCGTGGATCTCGAGGAACATACGAATTCATTGGACCAATCAAAAACGTGGAACTAGTTCGAGAGTCTCGTTCAGGTGGCGCGTCGACACGCCAAAACACAGCTCCAGATTATCACGCGTAGTATTACTATATATACACGACCAATCAAAAACGTGGAACTGCTTCGAGGGCCCTCCGCTAAGGTGGCGCGCCGAAACCAGAGAAAAATTGCCTTCACCAAAAACAGGCTCATTGGCAATCTCCCTACTCATCTCTGCCAAGAGAACCAATCATGTTAAGGCATGGTAAGGGAGGGGTCAGCTTGAATTTGATTGGTTATGCAGCGAACTCCCCTCCCCCCCTCATTTTGCCTCACGCCCCTTGCCTAAAATATCAGTTATGCCATAGATATAGAAAAGACATAGATGTTGACCTAGGGGGGGGAGTTCGCTGCATAATCAATCAAATTCAAGCTGACCCCTCCCTTACTGTGCCTTAACATGATTGGTACTACTAATTCTTGTTTTACATAGCACTTTTACATCACTGCGCTTGCTTCGAATAGTAACCAATCACAAGTAGGCGCAGTCTACCTCGGCACCCCTCCATGGATGGTTTCCCCCCGCAGGTTTATGCTACATCTATGTCTTTTCTATATCTATGTGTGAAGCAGTGTGAAGTGAGGTTAGGCACTAGACAGCTGGCCGATAACCTTTACAGGTTTGAAAGAATAGAAAAGTAAAGTATTCTTTCAAATAATTTATAAAAAATGGCAGATGTACGTGATATATTGGATATTGAACCGCCTACGACTGTAGAGTTAACTAAGGAATCTATTTTGGGTAACGATAAGAAGAACAGGAAAAAATATGAGTACAAAGTTCCCAAACGGCCAGAAGGCATGCACCGTGAAGTATTTGCTTTGCTGTGTAAAGATAACAATGATGTGCCACCTTTATTTCCAACTGATACTGGAAAAGGATATAAACAAGCCAGAGCTAAGCTTGGCATGAGAAAAGTTCGCCCATGGAAATGGACTCCGTTCACAAACCCAGCTCGAACAGATGGTGCAGTATTTCATCACTGGAGACGAGTTGCAGATGCAGGGAAAGAGTACCCCTTTGCTAAATTTAATAAAAAAGTTCCAATACCTACTTATACCAATGCTGAGTATGTTCAACATTTAGTAACAAATGGATGGACCCGTTCAGAAACAGATCATCTTTTTGATTTATGTAAAAGATTTGATTTAAGATTTATTATTATCAAAGATAGGTGGGATCGTACTAAATTTTCAGATAGGTCTGTAGAGGATTTGAAAGAAAGGTAAGTAAACTACTATTTCGATGACATTCTTTACAAATAATGTTAGTATTTATTTCTTTTAAATCTGTTGATAGGTATTATCAAGTGTGTGCTGCATTAACAAAAGCAAAGTCTAATGTTGACAAAGTATTTGTATTTGATGCAGAGCATGAGAAACGTAGAAAGGAGCAACTAAAAAAGCTGTTTGAACGCACTCCTGACCAGGTAGATGAAGAACAAACTCTTTTATCTGAATTACGTAAAATTGAGCAAAGAAAAAAAGAAAGGGATCGAAAAACTCAAGACTTACAAAAGCTAATAACTGCTGCTGATAACCAAGCAGACCCAAGAAAAAGCGAGAGAAAACCAAAGAAAAGCAGTAATTCAAGTAGAAACCGACCAAATAAAGCAGACTCGTCGTATGTAAGTATACAAATACATTTTATGTGAATTTGACTTTTATCCTATATCTCTAAAGGATTAATGTTTTTATTTTGTGTAAATAATTTTGTTTTAAAAAAATGAAAACTACTAAAAGGCTTGAAGTTAAAAAATAATGCATTTCAATTCAACACCCAGTTTTAAGAAAAAAGCCAGTGCTTGCATGTTTCAAAATCATTAGCATGCTACAGGCGTAATTTAAAAATGAAATCTGAATATCTTTTCTTATATGAAAGATAAAATTTTTAACATTGATGTTGAAGTATTTGAATAATGATGTCTAAATTGTATAAAAACTCAAATTGTATAAAAAATCTAGTAAATAATAATAACTTGAGGTTTTTATAAACCGATTTTAAAAGAAGCTTTTCTAATTCCAAATGAAGTTGTTCCCTTCATTAAGTAAAATATCTTCCGTTTTAATATGAATTATTTTTACTTACATTAAACAATTAGTTTTACCGGTCTGCAACAAAGACCATCCATTTTCAGGCACTGGAATCAGCTGGAATTAAATTTCCGGATTTTAAAAATAGCGGAGTATCTCTTCGCTCTCAAAGAATCAAATTACCAAGTAGTCTTGGTCAGAAGAAAATGAAGGGCATTGAGCAAATGCTTATCGAATTGCATCTTGGTACGTTAAGATTCTTACTTTTTTTAGTATTCTTTTTGCACATTTAAAATTTACAGAATTAAATAAAAATGTCAGGGGAATTCTTATAGATCCGTTTATTATATTATTAGATATATTTCTTTTTAATGTATTCAAAGGATTTTATGCGAATGTCATAGAATATCTTATAGTAGTTTGTGTTACAGATTTAAATCCTCCGCCAACAGAACAAATATGTCAACAATTCAATGATTTACGTAGCGATATTGTATTGCATTATGAACTAAGAGGTGCATTAGCTACATGTGATTATGAATTGCAATCTTTGCGACATCAATATGAAGCTCTGGCACCTGGAAAGGTTTGTTAAAGTTTATTCATGACTCTATATGTGTCAGCCGTTAAATAGATTCGTTTATTTTCGCAATAATTATCCTTAATGTAAGGAGTTCTAACACCTCATATTTATACGGAATATTTTTTTTTATATTCCTCATATCAAGAGGACTGTAGATTGTTGGTGTCATGAATTCAATTTTAGGTTATAAAAGTAAGGTGGGTGGCCCAATAATGGACCATATGCTTCTTCTTCTTCTTCTTCTTCTTTTATGTATGTTGGCACTAGTTAGGACCCTAGTCCCTTACAAGCGGCCACTCGGCCATATGCTAGTAACCGTCAGTATGTGCTGTAACTATAGAAAAATCTACAGTATTATAACACAATATATGATTACTGGTACATGGCCGATGATTGGGCCAACCATCTTAATAATTTATATCATTTCCAATGAACACGTCATATAATTTTGTTAATAATAACCGTAACCAGTATAGTCGTATGATATAGTTGGGGAAAACTTTTCCTCTATTTGATTTATATTATTGAAATGTATGATTTCATATTGCCAAGAGGTTGAAAAATCTTAACCCTACAGCTGTACTGTGGGGTACATTGATATTTCAGTGCCATTTCAAAAATCTTTTTACGATTTTTTGGGCGATTTTTATGATTTTAAATACATTTTCACTAATTTAATTGCATTTAATAAAAAAATTAAAAAACGTCCATCTGTTTGTCATTATCTAAGGAACAGAGTAATGGACTTTGAACATTTCTTACTGCAAAAAGAAGGGAAAGGGTGATAAGAGGGTTGTGGGTATCGACGTACCCCAGTATATATTCACTTTATGTAAATATGCATTAATTGAAATGGCTTTATTGTTTTCAGACATTAACAATACCGCCGATTCTTTTGCCAAAGACAGAAACAGAAATTAAAGCTGACATTATCGATGTAGTGGGATCTCCAAGCATGTCGATTATTCACTAAGTGATATTGTTATATTCAGCTACTTATTCATAAAAGTCTTTGATAGCAGAAAACTTACAATCTGCTAGTTTACAAAACTTGGAATCAATATGTTGTGTATTTTTCTAATTTTCATTAGGGTCAATGATGAATTCCAATAAAACTTACATTTTATGTTTGATAGTTTTCATGCAATGTTTGTGATTTTATTATCAATAAACGTATTACTATATAGTGATTACACGCGTAAAGTTTATAATTTTATTCGAAGAATATTTGATAACTTTTTGGGAATAGAACTCAACTCTATACAGAATAATAGAAGATTACGATTTTTCCGGCTTATTGATTTGACGATTGTTTTGCAGATATTTTTTTCACGGATAAACTAGTGTACAATACTTATTACGCTAACTGATCCAGTTTTCATGATGTGGAATTTTTAAGATTGTAATTAACACTATATATATCGGAGTCAATACTTAATCCTATGACAACTGATTCCCCCAAACAAATGATTGAAAGTGGTGTGGCTTATCACAGAACAATACCATTTCAATATTAGGTCTGTTTCTCGTTACTTGCACTTTTGAAAAAGTGCAGATTCTTATTGGCTACTTGAAAATATCATCCAATAAGAATTTACATTATTTGAAAAGTGCAGAAATTGTAGGTAACGGGAACGGACTTATTAGGTTTGTCTCGTTACCTACACTGACTAAGGTAAACGGCCCTGTTACCGACACTGTTCCAGATTGTGATCCCGATGGCATAATTTTGACTGCCATAAATACAGTTTTTGTCGAACAGTAATTCAATTAAAGGCTAATCGGAAAGCGTCTTTCACTTTATATTATTGGAGAAACATACTGTTTTAAATGAAATATTTTAGAATAGAATTTGACCAGTAAATAGTGCGACACGCGTTTCAGTGGCTCCGCAGCGGCAGTGTTAAACGGTGGCATTAATTGCGAGAAGCTACGTCGTTGTCAATTTTGTTTGTCATGTAAGTATAAAACGACATAAAAATGGTGTCAACAACTTTATCAGGAACCAGACTATCGATGAGATGAGAAATTATTTAACTTGTGGTTAGATATTTGTTCAAACTCGCGGGATCAATACGTGCGTGACAATTGATGTAATGTTACTGTTGTTGACTCAGTCGAGGAATAGCGTCCAGGTTGTCGACGCATTGTGTATAGGTGCGACTAAGAGACCTATTACCGCCTCGTTCCCACTCATGCTGTGCAAAAGAGACGCACCATAGGACGCTTTCGCTTCTCGATAGCACCATACGCTCGCTGCGTTGCACGCACATATCAAGAGACTCGATCGAGTCTCGCGCCAAGTACAGGCAACCGGCTGTACAGGGCGCAGCGCGCCGAGACTCTTTACTCGAGTCAACTCCTTATACCTGTGTTTGGAACGAAATATCTTATGAACCGCTATATATAAGGAAAAGTTATTGATACATTCACTATAGGAATTGAAGGTTCTGAAGCGATTGCCACCAAGTTCAATACGGTTAGTGTACGAGATTAGGGCGTATTGAAATGGCGAGCGAGATGATTTTATTTCAGTTCCGTCGTCGTCGTCGTCGTCGTCGTCGTCGTCGTCGTCGTC